GTCTTACATGTCTATTATTTAATCTTGGGTTTATATATATATATATATATATGTGCATATACATATATAAGTATATACATATATATTGTAAATGGAGAGCTGAGTGGTTTGAATGTATTTCTTGGCTGACTTTACAGAGAAGGCCTGGGAATAGTGTGGCCATGGGAATATCAAGCATACTTGGTACCCAAGATCTTGGTCTCCATCAGCCATTGGTGGGAACTAGATTTCTCTGGAAAGTGGCTGTTTTAATGACTGTGGTGGTAAAAACAGAAGGTAATGTTGGAACATCTGAGTTAAAGTGGCAAAAACAAAAGGATGCAGAATGCCAAGGGGCCGACCTGAATGAGCCCAAAATAACGTAGTATGTGAGTACCATGCAGAAGATGAAAAGAATATATGTGTGAGTTTGTCTTGATACAGATAAACTACAGAAGGAAGCTCCTCCTTATAAAAGAACTCTACCTGTCCCGAACCTCTCATAAGTGTAGATGCTATTGGTCATTGACTTCCACAGGAAGTATTGGAATGCTATTGTGCAGAGACCTGCTAAAGATTGTACCCATCAACTAAGTGGCCAAGGTCACCAGTGAGGAGTCACAGTGGTATCACTTAGCCATTGCCTGCCCCCTGCACCATGCTGCTATGTGAACCTAGCCTCTGTGATAGTCTTCCCAGTAACTGTGGTCAGTCATCAACAACCCCAAGCGGGACAGTTTACAAAACACATGGCCACTCCTTCTTAAGATAGTTAGCATCAAGGGAAACAAAAGAAGACTGAGGAACTACAAAACTGTCCCCATCCATAAGACACTGAGACTGGACGGTGTGGCACAGTGGGCTATCCTGGATTAGATTGTGGATCACAAAAAGGAAATTACCAGGACCATAGTTGGGTTAAAGTGAAGGCAAGGCCAGTTAGCAGTACACTGATGTCACTTTCTTAATTGTGGTAACTGCATGGTAATTTCAATATTAACATGGTGTAAATGGAGGACGAGTATCTAGGAAGGTGCTGAATTTGCAACATTTCTATAAATCTAAAATTATTATGAAGTAAAATGTTATTAAAATATTAAGAATAATGAGTTAAAGACCTGGTACATAAAATAGATGTTATCAAATATGCCATGGCTGAAGTAGGATCTCGGGTCCAGGCTCTCCTCATTCCTGTGGCTCCTTCCTTCCCTCCTAGGACTCCCCTGGATGTATTTGGTAAACTGTGATACTCCAGGATGAAATCCAAATTCCTTGACATCGTTTCTGGCACATGCATAGTCTTACCCTTGCCTGGCTTTTATTTTCATACCTGTTGACCTCTTGCTCCATGTCTATTCCCCTCATATATTCAGATGGCAATTCCTTTGCTTCAGGCTGACTGTGACTTTCCTCTTGATGTTACACATACTATTCTTTCAACTTGAAGATCATTCTCAAGCTTAGTCACCCTCAGAATCCCTTAAAAATCACCCCCAGACAGCTGCAAAAATGACTTGGGGTAAGAGCCCTTGCTCTTGCAGAGGACCTAGGTTCAGTTCCCTAAGCCCTCACAACCACCTGTAACTCCAGTTCCCAGGGATCCAATGCTCTCTTTTGACCTCTGTAGGCACCAGGTATGCGCATGGTGCACATAAACACCTCTGGGCAAAACACTGATATGTATAAAATAAATCTAATTTTTTTTTTCAAAAATCAATCTTAGAATTCCCCATAACAGCATATCTTCTCTCAAAGCGCTCTTAGCCTGGACTGAGTCTACCAGGTTGATCTCAATCCTCGGGGAGTCTTTGCCCTGGAGGAGATGGGAATGGGGGGTAGGCTGGGGGGAAGGGGAGGGGGGCGGGAGGGGGGAGAACAAGGGAATCTATGGCTGATATGTAGAACCGAATTGTATTGTAAAATAAAATAAAATTAAATTAAGAAAAAAAGAAGGGGAAGATTCATCCTGAAATCATTTTCTCAGCAGCACATAGTCCTTCCTACTCACCTGCATACATACTTCTTGCATCCATCGTTCCTGAAGTGAAAATTCCTCTGTTGTTCATGTCCCCATGCTAGATAGTAAGCACAGAGCCTGGCGTATATGCAGCATGGATGAATATGTGCATGCATGAATCAAAGATAGCAAATTTATTAAAAACCAAGTTGTTTCCTCTTTGTTGTCTTTAAATGTATTTGACTCTGACTAGCACAATCAATGAATTCAGTCATTGTTAATCAGCAAAAGTATCCCACTTGCCACCTTAAAAGGAAGAATGTTACATCAACAATCAATCATGGGTTGGGAGAAGCCCACAGGGCCTTACCCGATTGGCTACTGGTGGACTCTGGGGGAAGTACAGTCATTGTCTTTAGTTTTAGACCCAGTGAGGTGCCCACTGGGCTCTAATAGACAGTTCCAAAACAGTCAACACCGTTGATTCTGGTTATGCTCTGTAGTTCTAAGCAAAACCAAAACCAAACCAAAACAAGTCTGAAAAGCAAGTAGAGAAGAGGGTGGGGTATTAGTTGAGATAGGACAGTATGAATAGAGAGTTGAAATTTATAGTAATCAGAGTGTACTTTATATGTGTACAAAAGTTTCAATGAACAAATTTCAATAAAAGCTTTAAAATACTTTTAAAGGGCATTAGCCTTCCAGAAATAATAGTAATTCAACCAAGATACACACACACACACACACACACACACGATATGAGGAGTAGCTTTCTGACCCTAAAAATAACAGAAAGTCTGTTGGTAGATAATTTATAGTGAGTGAAATAGGTGCTATGCTGTCGCCATTCAGTCTGTTGGTGTTTGAAGGCATTGTCGCTAATGCACACTGTATACATTTATCTTCATTAGTCATTCCAAGGAGATGGTTTCTGATGCAGGTGGGTGAGCTACTCCCAGGCATTTTAATTTGCCAGTTATTGTACCCATAGCTAAGAACAAATAGTGATTAGTTTCACATTTCGCTCACTGGGCAGCTTAATGTTCTTGTCACCTTATATTGAGTTTTAAATGTGCGAAGCACAAAGAATGTCAAACATATTTCTCAGGCATGCAGGGGTAGGGTCATTCCTAGCCATTTGAATTGCTTCACGATACAACAATTAAAGGATCTAGCGACTAGTAACAGCACAACATTACAAGATAATATAACAGAAGTGTATGGAAGATGGTACAATAAGTGCATAGGGTAGATTATTAAGTTGCAGATGGCTCTTTTAATTTTCTTTCACAAAAGCCCCCACTTGCTAGTATGTGGGATCTGCGTGCTGGCTTGCTGGGTTGGATTACTACCATTCAAAAAAAGAAAGAGCCCCTGGTGTAATCCCATTTATAAAATACCCTTTGCTTAAGCACTTTTCTTCTTTGAGTATTCTGAGGTGCCAGGGGTCACCCCAAACAGAGTGAGATGTAGTGATGGTTAGCATAATGAATATTCACTACCTTGCATATTGGGCAAGATGCTCTAGCCATTACTCACTGATGTGATTAAAACAAAACACCTTACCCTGCATGGTGGAAAAGTTCCCCTTGGAAAAGCCTAAAACATGGAGCAGTTTTGTCCCTGTTCTTTTGCTTAATTGTCTGGGAATCAAATTGTCTCATTTCTGGAGACTTAACCTAGTGCCATTGTTAGCAGAAAAGATTATTTATCGTTTCAAGTGGGCATGGGGAAATGTCAAGCACTCAGCATCCCAAATACAAACTTTATTTGTTTGTCTCTTAAAGAATTTGTTTGCATATAATGTTGTGTTCACACCACCGATAAGAGAAATGTATTTAATAACTACTCAGAATTAATATGCTGTAGTATGCATGGCTGCCTAATTTAATTTATCTCTGATTAAGCCTATTATGTTTGAGATCACTTTACAGAAGAGACTTTTGCCAGCTGTAAGCTTATTTGAATTGTAATATAAGTTAATAATGTGTGAAATAACCAGTGGTACCCACTTCTAAATGTTAATTGTGCCAGCTGACTTCCTGAGTCGATGCATGCCCAGATCATTCATTGACATTACTTAATATCTTGCATTAAAACCTGTATTATAAAAATGTGAAAATTTACTGTTTTAGTAGGCAAAGACAAATGCAATAGTCCTGCTTTAATTCCAAAACCCAGAAAAATGGTTATTGCATTATAAAGGGGAATTTGAAAAAAATCAATGATTAATTAATCATATAAAATGATATTGAAGATAATACTTGCATACCTCTCATGTGATTTCTGTTCTAAATATATTCCTTCATTATCAAATCATGGGTGAATCAAATGAAGCATTAACCTCAGAGACTTGGCAGTGATTTCCCCTAGCATCTGCCTTGGTATCTAGGCCATCAAGTGTCTTCAATAGATTCATCAGGAGAGAGAAGGGCCTTTGCTATTACTGCTTGGTGACTTAACTCTATATTATAGACCAAATTGTTCATCATGTTTATGGTATGCCAACTATGAATCACTGGCCAAACTAATTCTCCTATTAAATCTTTTAAGCGGTTATCTCCAAAACAGTTATTATGCTATATTCTCTTCATAGTAATCATTGGCCTGGTGCATAGTTCCATGCAACCTATAAATTGTATTGCTTCACATGTAAACTTAATTATCTATAAATGAATTTAGGTTTGATAATCTTATAGCTTCTTACCCAGACTTTTTTTCTTTCTTTCTTTCTTTTCTCCCAGTTTGGAATGCCTTCTCCTGCCATCTGATATAACTCTACCCAGCCATCCAGGCCCTCTTGAAATCTTGCATACCCATGGCAGGTTTTCTAACCATCTCAGGCCTTTGGCTACTTCCTCTGTAAACTTGTCTTGTAGTCAGTTGCTCCAGCCATCTTGTTTTTAAAAATAGTGATATCAATAGCTGGTGATGATTGATGATCAGAATGCAGATATGACAGGGGAGAAACATATGTAACACAAACCCTGTATGAATACATACATGTTTACTGCTCTAAAGGCAGTGGACTCTGGAAGAATAGATCCTTAAAAATGGGGCAGACTCATGCAATAGCCAACTTTATTGAGAACACTAGACAATTTATACTCTGAAAGTTAAGAAGAATCACATGAGTAAAGTGTATATTCACAAGGACAAACCACATGTGGCAAAGGCATATTTTTCCATAGAGGCATAAACAAATAACAATAGCCAGTTGTAATGAATAATCTAAAGCAAACACTCCTATCTGCTACACCTGGAAGAGGCATGAAAGCACATTCCAAGGACAATTCTCTGTTTTTGAAGAAACTGGGAAACTCTTGTCTTGTTTTCTTGGAGTTTTCTCACAAACATTTAGAATTCCTCTCATGCAACCCATTCTTGGACCATGTTCCAACACATACATATATGTGAACAAGTATAAGTAGTTTATATGTTTCATTTGTTCATATGAAGAAGATGTTGGCATGCTTGCTGCATTTTAAAAGGCAGAGTACATAGAGTGGATTTTGTTGTTGTTGTTAGAAGGGGCTGTTTGTACACCTGTAGTTTGAATCTTAGTAAATGTAAACTATTGTTTCCAAGAAACACTGAAATACTGATGGGTAATTAGAACATGCTTGCCACTGTGCTTCAGGCCTGTTGCATCAGGAAGGCATTTTTTTGTTGTTGTTGTTTAAAAAGCTAACCAGATGATTCCTCTAAGTAGCCAGAATTGAGATCTACTGGTATCAAGGAAACATAAATGTCATTAAATCCATTCATCCATCTGGTGCTTTATTGCTTTCTACAGCTGTTTAGCAGTGACAGAAGAGTACTTCTAATACAGGGATTGAAACTGCAGCTCTCTAATGGTGGTATCCATGTCGCATGCAGTCCTCCTCTCAAGCTGCCACTCAAGGTGACCCAGTTTGGGGACTGTAAGAGAGTACTCTAATAGAAGAGTCTAGCGTAGTGGGCCATCAGTCAGTCCCGGGCAAACCAAAACTGTTGTTTGCCCTACTGCCAACCCATTTGTGTGTTTGGATGGTACAGAACTGGGTTTTGATACATTTTCTTCTAGTAAGGAAAAGGGTACTGCTTTGGATAGACTTTTTAAATGGAAAGATAAAAACGGCTAAAACATTAAAACCTTAGCAGTCTGGAGAGAAAAGAGACACTGAGGAAAAAAGCAGGGGGTAAAAAAGAAAAACAACAGATTCTCAACGACTTTTTGAAATTAAAATGACATATCACAAGCATAAAAATATTCATTCACTGGTTATCTCTGGTATGTAGATTGATTAAGAAAGATTCTGTAATGAAGAAACCATGAAGAAAAAAATCCCAAATGTGTGTATATAATCAGCTATAAATCTATAAACTCCTTGAGGGTCACTGGTTTTTGTTTTTGTTTTTTTCTTAAATGAGAGAAGACTTCCAGCAACTGCATGGAGACTTGCCAACAGCTGAGTTCCGGTTCCTGTCAGGAACCCAGAAGCATCTTCATCTGCCGTACATCCTTTTCTTCCTAGCAACACTTAGCAGTCTCTCCCTTTGAGATACAAGTAAATGTCAATCACCTAATAGAAAGGGGAATGCATTTTCACTTTTAATAGTCTGATTTACATGATAGCATTAAAATGATCATGAGAATCCCTTTGAGTTGCATCTTGATGACATAACATGGTCCTGCAACCTGAGAATAAACTTATTCACTGTTGTCTCTTATTTTAGTTACATTGATCACTGAGCAGTCAGTCTGAGTGCCGCACAGTTGATTTATTTCATTCATTGATTGCCAAAATGGCCAGATGTGTTTCCAGCAATCTGACTGTCTTCATAACCAAATCAAATCAACTATGCAGCAATTCAGCCAACGGTTGAGTGTCCAGCTGTCCTAGATGCAACTAGCAATGAGATATTAAGCTATGCTTGGAAATGTCTAGTTTCGTTGAAATCATTATAGCTTTTTCTGCTGCTCTGTAATTTATATGCAGCTATAGGAGGAAGCATCGATAAATAAAAATGTTAGCAGGTTGTACTCTGACTTCTTCCTCAATGAAAATATCTAGCTAGATTTGTAAAACATGTTAGAATCAGACATTGACCATCAGCTCATTGCATCTTTTCATAGTCTGTTAATAGATGTTACCTGAGAGAAGTGAAACGAGGCCCTGTAGTCATATAAGTTCACATGATGCCAGATCAAACACGATCAAACAGGAGCTGTAGAGAAGAACATGTAGTTCTGACCCTCCAGAGTGGGAGAGGGGAGGGCAAGAGATGGAAGACCTTTTCGGTGAATATGTAGAGGGACTCCATCTGACCTCCTAGCTTCGTAGTTAAGCAAACTCCATCCAAAAATGTGAAGAAACTGACACAGCATCTCACTTCTCTTTGTCTAGGGGGCCTGCTTTCCTTTAACTACCCATAATCCTCTGTATGCACTTTCTCCCAGAAGGTGACTGACAAGAGTTTCCAGGTGGTCTGCTCATGGGAGTGAGAACTCTTCACTTTCCCTCCTGTGTTTTGAGAAACTGATGTAATAGCTCCTCAGTTGATGATTAGTTCCAACTTTTGGAGCCAAAGGTCAACTCATGGAAGGAGGTTTACTTTCCTCTGTCTGTCATCCCCTAGAAAACAGCAGAGCGCTCCAGAGATGACTCAGCCATACTGCACCGAAGTTCAGTTCCCAACTCCCACATCATCACCACCTGTCACTCCAGCTCTAGGGAATCTGATGCCCTCTTCTTACCTCCATAGTCACATGCTGTCACATACAAAGAGATACACACAAACACATAAATAAAAATAGACTCTTTCAAAAAAGGAAACAACCATGGATTAGGACAATTGGGCAGTGTATACCACTGCCCCTGCCCCCGACACACCCCAGAGTCCTGAGAGAGTTAGCATTTGATTTGTGTGAACACAGAAAGTTCTTTGGGCAAACAAACTGGGCCAGATTGAGCATATGTCAATGCCAGGTAAAGCTGTAAAAATGGAAATTTCTGGTGTTGTGAGACTGAACATGTGCAACTTTGTATTTTCCTATTCAAGAAATCTCAGCAAAATTATAGAAAATTGTTCTTAAATCTATAAAGTTGAGACGGAGAGAGCAGGTAAGAGAAAACAATTGATACCACTCAGAAGAGATGTCAGCCAATCTGAGGACGATGATAGCAACTGAGGAGTAGCTGAGGTATGTGGACAGAAGCCATGGAGTCCTCCTTTGGGAGCATCTCAGGGCTAAGAAAGACTCCAGAGGTGAGACTACCTAGACAGGATGATTGTATCATGTTGACAGGAACATTAGCACCTGGAGTAGTTACAAGGAGTAGTTAGCCTATACTCCCTGCCCCACAGCATGGAGCCACATCCCATCATCCCTCTTTACACCTTGAAAAGGAGTGATAGGCTGCACCAGTCAGAGATGCTTTGGACCCTGGGAACCAGACCTGGGGAAGGAGATGAGGCTGCACTGAGAAGGCAAGTGGAGCCCTCTTGCACTGCCCCCCTGGGGTACATGCATTAATCTTCCTAGGCAAGATTTTGAAGACCTGGAGAAACTGAGTGGCCCAAAGATTGGCATTTGGCATCTTACTCAAACAGCTAGATTCCAACCCAGTTGTCATCAGGGGTCAGCACACCTGTGCTGTGGATATCACTCAGTATAAATAAAATGCTGATTGGCCAGTAGGTAGGCAGGAAGTATAGGCAGGACAAGCAGAGAAGAGAATTCTGGGAACAGGAAGGCTGAGTCAGGAGACGCTACCAGTTGCCGCCATGAGTACCAACATGTAAGATACTGGTAAGCCACAAGCTATGTGGCAAGGTATAGATTTATAGAAATGGGTTAATTTAAGATAGAAGAACTAGATAACAAGAAACCTGCCACGGCCATACAGTTTGTAAGCAATATAAGTCTCTGTGTGTTTACTCTGTTGGGTCTGAGCGGCTACGGGACTGGCGGGCGAGAGAAATTTGTCCTGACAGTGGGCCGGGCAGGACTGGAGAAAAGTCTAGCTACACACCTAGCCCTATCCATGTTTTCCATGGAAACTACTCATTATCCCTAAAAACACAGGAATTACTTATTTCTGTATTTAAGTATATACTATTTATAAGAATGTCTTAATGTAGAGAGTCACTAGTCACTTAAATAGAACCCTCAATATAAAATAAAACATAAAGACCCAGAGAAAAAGAGAGAGAGACAGAGAGGAGAGCAGAGACAATGTTAAGGGGGCTGGGAGAGGATTACTTTGTGAAGTAAATGAAGGACTTTCAAAAATCTGTAGCATCTTTCAGAAAGATGAAAAACACTACTATAGTCATCACATAAAATAAACATTCTATAAGAAATGAAAAAATCGGGAAATAAATATATATATCTAATAAAAATTTTATATAAGTATAATTTATATTATATGCACACAAAAATATACATATAGTAAATAGATGTACATATGTATAATAAATATATATGTAAATACAAATATATGCACACACACACACACACACACACACACACACACATATATTTGAATGTGGAAAATAAAGTCAAGTAGATTTCCCAGAAGCAACTTAGCAAGCAGTGATAGAGGATGGGATGGGGTTGAGGTAAAAAAATAAATAAAATAAAACCAGTGAATTAATCCATAAGGTTCAATATTTTTCCAAAGGAGTTCCAGAAAGAGAAAAAGAACAACTCTGTGGGATACAAGATAAAAGATAATAAAAGAAGACATTTCAAGGGAGAACCACAGGTGTCTACAGATGTAAAGGGACAAAAAAGTGCCCAGAACATTGGATAAAAAAGGCCCTCATTATAATGGTGCTTAGTGTGAAACTTCAAAACAGCAGGATTAAAAAGAAGCTTCCAGACCCTTCAGAAAAATCACAGAAGTCTCACATGAAAGGGCAGGAATACCAATGGTGTGAGCCTTCTCAACTGTGGCACTGGAAGCCAGCAGGCACTGGAGTACAGCGTAAAACTCCTAGGAGAAAAAATTCCTCCTTACTTACAGTTCATTCAACCAGGCGAACTGGCAAATAAGCTTGAGTCGAGTTAAGACATATGCATGGTCTCAGCAAATGTGCCTCCCATGGACTTTCCTAGGAAACAGCTAGGAAATGTGCTGCCCTTAACACAAGGATGTGAATGAGAGGACAGGATGGCGAGGGGTCCCGGACAGGGGGATCCAACGCAGAAGAGCACAGAGAATTATCAGCACAGTACTGTTTAGAAGAAGGCCCTGGTCAACAGGTGGGACCACCTTTAAACCAGACAGACTGCTCAGGCCTCTTGCTGGGAAATGGGTCTGACAGATGAACTGCTTGGCTTGACCTTCTGAGAAGGAGTTTCAATAAGGGTTTTGTAGTTCTTTTGGATAGCTTAAAAACATTTTAATAAGCCCAAAGAGTAAAAGGCAATAGGTGTATCAGAAGTGAACCCTTCTATTTGACTCTGTTGTGCACAAGACTACATGGATATAACAGTGTAAATAGAATATTCATATAATCCCAAATTGCCTGACACACTGGAAAATAAGGGAAGAAAACTATCTTGTTGGGAGGTGGTGATGGGATAAGAATGGTCAGGTTTTTGTTTTTTTTTTCATTTTACATATTAGTAAGTTATGGTATAATGTCTAAATGGTATGATTTTAAAAATATCAGTGCATAAGCTACTTAAATAAAAGAAAGCAAATATAAGAGTTGGAAGGTGAAAGTAGTGTCCTCTGTGATGGGACTGGATCTGGTAGAGGTCGGGGTCAGATCAGAGTTACTTACTAATGAGTCTTCCTGCGCTTGGACAAGATTGTCGATGAACCAAACTGAGAACAATGGAGGGGGGGGCAAAAGTCCTATATTATAAGAAGTTGCTCATTTTAGCAAATGGATACTTTTCATAATAAAAAATTAGAGGAGGAAAGAAAAGAAGGAATGAAAGAAAACAAGAAGAGAGAAAAGACTTAAAAGTTAACAAAAGACGAGAGTGGTCTCCTCTGAGAGCAAGAAGGGGTTTAGCAGAGTGGTGAGGAGTCATTACTGGCATGTTTCAGTTATAAGTCTTGCAGTATTGCTATGGACATAGCACTGTGATGAATATTGAGTTGCATTATAAGTTAGTAGAATCACAAATAGAAGTTATATAACGAAGGTGTATACACACACCAAATAAAAGTGAGAGCATGATGCCTGGTGCTAGTGTCTTCCAGAGCTCCTTTGTTTCATGTCTAACAACAAAGTAAGTACCCAGGACCCTCTGCTATACTTACTGCAGCTGACATTTCCTGTCATCTGTACCAACTCTCCACGTTCTGTATTTGAACTATACTCGACTAATTGGTGATCCCTTATGGGACTCATAAAGTCTCTATTTTCCTTCACCTGGATCTTTACATAAAGTGCAGTTATTGCTCACACTGTGCTCACCCTCCAAACTCCTGACACTCAAGCTCACACCTACCAGTCATCACTTCCCACCTTCCCTGCTCACCTCCATTCCCTGGATACTTGAACTGTTTCCTCTAGGCTCCAATTCCTCCATGAGGGATTTGTGAGGCCTTCACAGCCTGGTACTGCCTTTGGCACCACCTCCCACACACTGCTGTGAATCATGGGAGTGTCTCCCTTCCCCTGTCTTTGTAAGGGACCTGGAAGGTCACAGGAGCAGGCAGCTTCCTACACTGTTTCTTTTTCCTTCTGTGCTGCCTGGGAGAGCACTGATCTAACCTACGTATTGCCTCGGATATTAATTAAATGAGTAAACTAATCTTTTATTAAATGTGAAATCTGTTCAATCATATGGCCCAGCACTAAACATCTGCATCTACATAAATAAATATTACCAGTCAGTAAAAACGCTTTTCTTTTGGTTTTCGGGAGGGTCACACGTGTTCCCTCCAAGGAGGGGTCTTCTGCACAGAGACTGCAGGATAAACTGTTATCAGAGACTTCTGTTTATGCTGCCTTCATGGGGGATATGGAAAAATTGTCATCTTGGAGGTTCACGGTTTAGTTTGATGAAGTAGGAGTTGCAGATGGCCTCTGGACTGAAATTGTAGGCCAAATGGCACCTGGGCCTCCAGGCAAAGACATCACCCTGGCCTGATGCACAGCAGTGCTGGCTGAGATGGACCAGGAATGGCAAGAGCACTAATATGAAAAAAGAAGTCCAGAAATCCCCAAGGCTGTATCGAAGTCACCTAAGGTTGGGGTAGAGCCATGGTTCTCAACCTTCCTAATGCTGTGACATGTTGTGGTAACCCCAACCATAAAATTAATTCATTGCTACTTCATAACTGTAATTTTGCTACTGTTATGAATCATGATGTAAGGTATCTGATATGAAGGATATCTGATATGTGACGCCCATGAAAAAGCCTTTCAACCCCCAAAGGGGTCACAACCCACAGGTTGAGAACCACTTGGTAGAGTCTTGAAACCCTGAATCCACACGGCACAGACCTTGTTTAGGTCCCTTCATGTTCAATCAGGTTTTATTCTACCATCCCAAATCTCTAAATAGCCACTCAAAATGACCATCTAACAAATCTGAAACATTCATTATTAAAGTAACACAATGCCCAGCACTGTTATGGTGCATGCAAATATCGGGAGAGTGTCCTTTGGAAAGAATGCAGTAGATCCACTAAGTCCTGGCATAGTGAGGCCTTTAGCACCACAGGCTGCTGCAAGAAAAAATTAGTGTGGAGCAGGAAGTCCTCAACTCCCACCCTTCCCGTGAGGACCTCCCTACAGCTGTGCTGATAATTTCATGCAGTCCCACATTTCCCGGCTGCTTCTCCACAAACATCCATCCCTATCTTTTTTGCTTGCCTGTGATTTCTCTTTAATGGAAAGCCATGTAATAAAGGATTTTGCCTCTTTCTTTACTCCTTTTCTTTCAGTTTTTCTGGAATAACATGCTGAATTAATTTGCATGAAGACAGTTTCTTTGCATAGGCCAGTTTTAGAAGGCCACACGAGTCTAAGGAAATTGTCTCTGAGACCAGGGGCATGCCAGAGAAGGACTAACTTTTTATTGTGTATATCTTACCAAGCATATCTCTTCCTTTTTTACTTTATTTTTATTGTTGTGTATATGTCTGTGGGGGTGAGCCTTCAGTTGTTGGTCCCTCCTTTCACCTTGTTTGAGGCAGGGTCACTTTGTTGCTCACTACTGTGTGCAGGCTAGCTGGCACACAGCTCCTAGGGATCTTCCCATCTCTGCCTCCATGTCACCACAGAGGCAGTGGGATCCAGACATGCACTGCCGTGCCTGGCATTACGTAGTTTCTGGGGATTCGAACCCAGGCCCTCACACTTGCTCATCGAACACTTTATCCACCAAGTGTCTCTCCAGCTCTCATATATCCCTTTTAAAAAATAAAAGAGTAGTTTAAGAGAGCCCCTTTACAAATGTTTTATAAGTAGCTGTAACAACTTTGCCAGCCACATAAGCAATACCCTTTATGTGTAGTCCTAAGAATGCACTTCTTAACTTCTCTCCTTTTCCAGAAGTCAGGTTGTAAATGGGCTGCTGTTTGTGTCCACAAACTTACCAGATTACAAATTCTTTACCAACTGTGTCTGTTTCTCATCTGAACAATGCCATCTGTGCTTAGGTTGTGCTGGAATTAAACATTGGTTTTCGGCCAGATACATTTTTCCAACTTTTCAGCAAGGTGACCCAGGATAGGTCTTGGGTCTCCATTCTCTTCTGAGTAAGATTGGGAAAAAATTTCCCATGCACAGACAGTAATTGAAGAACAGGCCCAGATGTGTGTGTGTGGTGACTCTCAGTGGCTGGTTCAAGACAGGGCTTCAACATCAGGTTCTGTCCCTGCAGAAGGTCACCAGAGTGAAGATTCCCGGTGGTGCTTTTAATCACTAGCTACTAAAAGTGTGGCCACAGTATCACCAGGAAGTTTATTAGAGCTACAAAGTCTTGGCCTGGCCTGCTCTGATGGATCAGCCTTTGTACTGTGCACTGGACCGCCATGCCTATGCACAGGAAGTCTGAGTAACATTTTCTACCTGTAGAATTTTAGGAAGTCTATAAATCTTATTTCTGATTTTTAAATTTTTTCTGTCCTATGGACTTGAGTGGAGACAAGTTCTCCTGGTGATAGCAAATTGCTTAGAAGTAGTAAATAATTCTCTGAGCTCTACTTTGGCAGACCAGATGATTCCTGTCTAGATAATGCCTGTTCTTACCCCTCTGCCTCTTTCTGTCAGCTTCCTCCAGCCTGGAGAGTCTCCCCATCCTAAACACTAGAGACACCACACCTGTACCTCACGGTCTGCCAAAATCTCAAACCAGCCAATCCCAAGCCTTCCTCCACGACTCACCTGTTCTTTCCCAGGAAGAACAATCTCAGCTCACTTTCTCTGCCTCCCGACCAGTGTGACACTTCCCCGTGAGCCTCTGGATACCCTGAAATACCCCTTAACACCCATTTGGGGTATTATAGCCTGTTGTCATTATCATGGCTGTCATTTGCTGAGCTGTGGGCGTCCCCATATAGGAATAAAACCTGCAATTGTAGTTACACGCTAGAATAAAGCTGCCCTTCACACTTTTTAGCAGCTACTTTTCAAGCCTTTTAGAGCAGCAAGGGTGGCCCACAAAGCCAGGTGTCCTAGACAGGTACAACCAACAGTAGGAAACTCTACAAGAATGCTAAGCTTCATTATCAGCCTGAACTAGCTTTTAAATAAAGATGATAGCTGTGTCCAAGGCTGTAAATCTGCTTAATGTGCCATGACTGTGTTGAAGGCCAGTGGTACTCCTTAGCAAGCTTTGAACACCTCAGACACTGCCATTGCAAAAGATTAAGCCATCTAGGACAAAGGAACCATTTGAATCAAAGCACACAAACTTATTTACCATATTCAAAAATGCCAGGGAAACAAATATATCCATTGATTTTCCCTGTAGTTTCTTAATATATATGCTTCAGATAGAACCCCCCCCCACACACACACACACAGCCTGACCAGGGAGCAGCTGTTATGTAAGCAACTCCTTGCTCACCTTTGTACTTCCCTCTTGTCTCCAGTTCTGAGGAGAATCTGATTGTGTGGAGGTGAGCTCGCCAAAATTGTCAGTGCTGGCAGATGTTAATGTAAACTAGACTTTCTATGATCTGATCCAATGGGTAGAAAAAGAACCCCTCTAAAAATTATTCCATGTTTACTAGAAGCAATTGTTTTTTTTTTTCTCTTAGATAAGTTCTTTTACCATAATTTTATTAAGTAATTACAGTTTGGTTGGTAGTTTTGGTTAGGACTGCTACTAGAAGAGGAAAAATATGAATTGTCTTGTGGCCATCAGAGTAATTTTCATTAAAAAATAACTTCATTTGTTAAGATCATAATTAAGAGTCAGCTCCAACCCCTGGGTACATCATGCACAACACAATGATACTGCCAGCCAGTGTCTACAAAGAACTTGTTTGCCTGCATGTCTGACAAATGTCACCTGAAACCAGGGGCTTGTTCCTTGAAGTGTTTTGTTTGATGGTTCCTTCACTGTTTTCCAAGAAACCTCATTTGCTCAAGGGAGCCTGGCCCTGGGAAAGGGTGTTTGCATCTGCTTAAGAAAGTGTGCCTGAAATAGTGACTTATTTGGAACTGGGAACAGAATGGAATGGGAAGGACAGATGAGCCAGTTTGAGCCAGCAAAGAACAACCTGGCCCTCCAGACTCTTATAAAAGGGGCTGTGAGCAAAGCACTTTGTGGAGCCTGGAGCCAGTAAGACCCGTCTCCACTCAGCAGGCCTTGTCTCTGTACAAAACCCTTTCTCTAACAGTGTCATAAGGTACACGTTTGCATTTTAAGCTCCACTTAAACTCCTGTTATGGTGCGGGTTTCCCGATTCAGCCCTGCAGACTCCATTGCAGAGACTGCTCTCCAAGGTATGTTGCCCATTTGAAACTCAGTCAAGTTCTGTGGATGGCCTCGGGATGTTCGCCGCTGGTGATGGGATCCAAATCACAGTGCTTTCTCTGTTGCCAGGAGAGTTGGCATGTATGCTGATGCATGGGCTACCTGAAGAGAGGGCTTGGGCTCTGCTGCTTTCTCACTGAGCTGAAAACAAACTAGCAGTCAAGGAAATGGTGGGTGGGGGGAGCTCATCTCCTATCTAGAGGAATGCAGAATGAACTGCGGACTAATCCAAAAGCAGCCAACTCCTGCCACTGTGTGGCTTTTGGGTCTGTGCCTTTCCTGTTTCTTCCACTCTTTCTTTTGGTCTCCTCACTTTTCTACCCAATGGAATCGAGTTCATTTGTTTATTTTCATAGCCTGAAGCCTTGTAACTCTGAGCTGGCAAAGCTGATGAGAGAGAGGCTCTTTAAATCTTAAAATCCTGAAGTTAGATTAATTTGTATTTTATTAATCTTTCTCTTGTGTTTAAGAAGGAGAAAAGAAGAAGAAACAAAGAAACCATTGGCCACATTTAAAACTGGCAGGGTTAAGTGTGGATTGAGTCCTGTTTAGATACGGGGGTAATGAGAATCGTACCTTCTAAAAAAAAATTTAAATCTATCTTTGCACAATTAGCAAATTATTAAGTGACCTTTCCTTCAGTGTCTTCAAGCAATTGCCTGTTCCCACTAATAGGAGAACATGTTTTACCAGGTTCACGTTGATTAATTGACAAATGCTGATAAAATCAAAGCAGCGTGGAAACCCAGTGCACCAACAGCAACATAAATTACATTTGTTCAATAATGTTCCAAGTGGCTATGCGCCTATGCTTTACCTTTCAATAAATAGCACTGTCTTCATTGAAACATCCATTGTGGAAATTTATCTCTGAGGAGGACTGTCAGGCTGCATGCACAGCCTGAGCCCAACATTTCTATATCTATACATGGTTTTAGCTCTATTAAAACCATTGATGGCTGTGATTATTCAAAAAGGATGCATTATACTTTGTATGAAAATGACATAGTTTAATATAGTACTTGGAAAATCATACACCCTCAAGTGACTTTCATTTGCCTTATT